AACTGTAGGATCAGTGGGTGGTGAAATAATAAATAGTTACAGGTTTGAGAGTGTACCACCCTCCAGACATCACTCGATGATTGTACAGAGCACATTTGATAGATTTCAATTTGGGGAAGCAGATGGTAAATTGAGATGTGGAGGTATCGAAGTGTTGTTCTAGGGGAGGTTAAGATCTCTGTCCAGTAGAAGGAGAAGTCACGTGTTATCGTGACGCAACATGTCGGACTAGAGCGTGGTGACGCAATTACACATGGACGGCAGCCATCTTTGGACTCCTTATGCAAGCACCCTGACTGTGGGTTATACAGTTCATGCCTGGTGGGTCTATGACCCGATTTTAATGGGTGAGTAGGTCTTTAGCATTTGTGTATGGTATAATAAACTTTACTCTATTACACTATGGTGGCTTTTTCTCCGATTCCCTGTTTATGAGCCATTGGGAGAGTGGAGTAGTTTTGTAAAGGTGCTTTACCATTGTAATGGTTGATTAACCGTGGGCTGTGTGGAAGCTGATCCTGTGACCATCCAGAGAGTGAAATTCATCCCACCTGGGACTACCTGATTATCTGTTATGCCTTATGACTCCTTGAGGGTCAAAGATTGGAGGTAAGCATGCACGCTAGACAGTGACAGATGGTCTGATGCACTTGAGCATGTATTTATTTTCACAGTCGAAGATTGATTCATCACAGTTGTATGTTTGGGACTTTGTGCTATAAGATTTATGAATATTGTTCATTTATGATCACATGTATTTATATTTGGTTAACATTTGTTTCACTTATATCACCTATCACTTATATTTAGTCACATTCTTGATGGCATGTTTTTGGGCTACACAGTAGGTGCACCACTGTACACATATATTTATTCATATAATTTGTGTATTCACCCATTTATTATCGAGTCCTTTATTTCTATTTTTTATGTTTATTATCACATGATATTAGCGCTACACCACCTTATCTACTTATGTTTCATCCATTCTAGTCTAGTCTAGCAGCTTCTTCGTTTTTATATCTTTGGCAGTGCATGAGTCCACCCCCCTTTATTTTGTCCAGTAGAAGCTTCAATTCTGCAAACTGAGAAAGTGCATGGATGTACTGTATAGTGAGTGGTCTGTGTTTGGAAGACATTTGAGAGGTAAAGATTTGCAGCAGTAAATTAAATTATCATATGGAACACTGGCCAAAGACATACCTCCCAAGAAGGTCAGCTTCGTGGTCAAGAAATTAGCATGATTTATGGAATGAGAAATATCTGTTGTGAAGAGAGCATAAAAAATGGGTCTCTTGAGACAAAGGTATATTAACCTTGTGTTTATGACGTTGGTAGAGGATTTGACCTCTTTTGGAGACATTATTTAACCCTTTAGCATTATATGAACACAGTTTCAGTTGATGGAGTAAGGGAAATGGAAGGGGAGAGTAAGTCAAGGGGGGACGGGGGGTGAAAAGGGTATAAAGTGAGAAGAGAATAGGAGAGTACGAGATGTGATCCTAAGTTAATTATTCTGGATAAGTATTTAGAGTAGCGGCCCATTAGAATAAGTAATCATCAGAGAATCAACAATTATCTGCCACCACACAGATCAATCAGTTATAGCTATACACTGCTCAAAAAAATTAAAGGAACACTTTTTATTTAGAGTATAGCATCGAGTCAATTAAACTCCTGGGATATTGATCTGGTCAGTTAAGTAGCAGAGGGGGTTGTTAATCAGTTTCAGCTGCTTCGGTGTTAATGAAATTAACAAAAGGTGCACTCAATGGGCAACAATGAGATGACCCCCAAAACAGGAATGGTTTTACAGGTGGAGGTCAATGACATTTTTTTCCCTACTCATATTTTCTGACTGTTGTTTGCTAGTTTTGCATTTGGCTAGGGTCAGTGTCACTACTGGTAGCATGAGGTGATACCTGTACCCTACAGAGGTTGCACAGGCAGTCCAACTCCTCCAGGATGCAGGATGGAAGGAGGAGCAGGATAAGCACTGCCAGAGCCCTACAAAATGACCTCCAGCAGGTTACTGATGTGAATGTCTCTGACCATACAATCAGAAACAGACTTCATGAGGGTAGCCTGAGGGCCCAACGTCCTCTAGCGGCCCTGTGTTCACTGTCCAGCACCATAGAGCTCAACTGGCATTTGTCATTGAACACCAGAATTGAAAGGCCCGCCTCTGGTGCCCTGTGTTTTTCACACATGATAGCAGGTTCACCCTGAGCACATGTGACAGATGTGAAGGGGTCTGGAGATGCCATGGAATACGTTATGCTGTCTGTAACATCGTTTATCATGACCGTTTTGGTGGTGGGTCAGTGATGGTCTGTGGGGTATATCCATGGAGGGACGGACAGACCTCTACAGGCTAAACAATGATACCCTGACTGCCATTAGGTATCTAAATTAAATCCTTGGACCCATTGTCAGACCCTACGCTGTTACAGTGGGTCCTGGGTTCCTCCTGGTGCATGACAATGCCGGGCCTCATGTGGCAAGAATATGCAGGCAGTTCCTGGAAGATGTAGGAATTGATACCATTGAATGGCCCTCACACTCGCCTGACCTAAATCCAATAGAACACCTCTGGGATATCATGTTTCGGTCCATCCGATGCCGACAGGTGGCACCTCAGACTGTCCTGAAATACTCCAGGACACCATCCGTTGTCTCATTAGGAGCATGTACCAACATTGTCAGGCATGCATACAAGCACATGGGGCCATACAAACTACTGAGTACCATTTTGAGTTGCTGCAATAAAATTTCTGCAAAATAGACTAGCCTGCTGCATCATTTTTTCACTTTGATTTTCCGGTGTGTTTGAATTCAGTCCGCTGTAGGTTGATAATTTTAATTTTCATCAAATGATGGGGCATTCTTATGTTCCTAACACATTACCCAGTCCATGGTGGTATAGATATTCAGCATGATTTTTTTACCCATTGAGATCTAATGTGTTTTCAAAGTGTTCCTTTAATTTTTTTGAGCAGTGTATTAAGTGTAAACCAAAGTAGTATGGAGTTGACTGCAAGAAAGTAAGGCAGCATGTGATAACCCAGTGGAACAAAATTCAAAGTATGTAATGGTAAGCATCACCAGAAAAAAAGCTCCCGCTGTGTAAGACCAGCATTGTACCCTGTGTAGTAAAGGTACTAGTAACTAGCTCATTAGTTAGGATATAGCAGGATCCTCAGTGTCTGAGGTGGTACCGGTAGTATAAACTAGGCCCACTGACTGCAGCAGAAATAGAGCAACTAAGTACAGGGCATAGGTCAGGAGCAATAACCGGTGATATACCTGAGAAAGGAAACTAGTATGCAGATGAAAGTATGGAGATTGCAATCTCAAAAACAATACACAGCATGGCTCGCTGAACCTAAGCAGTACGTGACAACAATATGAGAAAAACAATGTGTAAGCAGATTGGTATATAACAACGGTAACAGTGCAAGAAGTCTGTTTAGATGACAAGAAGATATCTAGGATTAGTTACCTCCTATGCAAAAAGTACATAACATTAACAATAAATGAAATTTAAAACATATGGCTTTACAAATGGTTATACAAAGTGGGGGAACATGGTGGTACATGGTACAGATACTAGAAAATTTCAGGGTCAGTTCTGGCTAGACGTGATGGTTTGAGAGCCGGTGACTCTAGGATTGGACCTTGAGCAAGGCTGTCTATCATCTATCTGGTAGCAGAGCTTGATAGGATGAGGAAGCCCTCTCATACGCCTCTGACTCGAGGCCCCTGGTAATGTAAACAGAAGGCGCAGGAGTACAGAGCGGCACGTGTGCCTGCAGGTCCTGCTAGCAGAAGAGCAGGTGTCTATGGCAGGCAGGGGTAGTTGTCAATGGTGTTCAGTGAAGCAGGCAAGATGGATGGCAGCTGGTAGGAGGCAAACTGAAGCAGACTAGTACTGGCGACAGCAGGTACGCAAGGTATGTACTGGTAGCAGACAGTAGATAAGCAGGCACGGACAGATGGCAGGCAAATACCAATGACATCAAGGAGTCAGGCAGGCCAGGTCATACTCTGGCAAGACAGATCAGGCACAGAGGCACGGACAAGAATGTGGTCAAGGTACAAGCTGGGTCAGAAGCCAATCAATGGAGCGGTGGCCAGAAGCTGAGGTGAGTACAGAGTGCAGAGAGTAGAGAATATCAGCTGGGTCAGCAACTGGAATCAGGATCACACGTCTCAGAAGACACGGAAGGCTGACGACAAAGTAGCACTGAACCTGAGCACTGGCTCAGTTTAAATAGCCTATTTGGCTCCACCACCTGTGCCCAATCCCTACATCCATGTGAAGAAATGTGGATTAGCCTGTGAAGTTGCACAGAATTCCACCCAGAGGCCATGCTCTTCCCAACACTGTCTACGGTGCTGAGTGAGTGGTAACAGTCATGCATGTTGCCGTTGCTCTGATGGGTGGGTTCAACCAGTTGAGGACTGGTATCGGGTCTTGTTCCAGGAATTGTATAATAGGGCTGGCAGCTGGTCCAGATCAGACAAAAATAGGTTATCCCCTCATTTCACTTAAATGCTGAAGGGGTGTCCTCACTTGTAGGTAGCGTCAGCTTGCTGAATCACATCACATCCAGTACACATCACATCCAGTACAGGTTCAGTATGTAGTCCAGGTTCAGTAGTTATACTGAACATACACTACAGGTTTAACTACTGAACATACACTAATCATTGGATTCAGGAGTTCCAATCACCTCCATGGCCACAGGTGTATAAAGTCAAGCACCTAGGCATGCAGACTGGTTCTACAAACATTTGTGAAAGAATGGGTCGCTCTCAGGAGCTCAGTGAATTCAAGCATGATACTGGGATAGCTTGCCACCTGTGCAATGTGTGAAATTTCCTTGCTACTAAATATTCCACAGTCAACTGTTAGTGGTATTATATCAAAGAGGAAACAATAGGGAACAACAGCAACTCGGCCACAAAGTGGTAGGCCCCAAAAAATGACAGAGCAGGGTCAGTGCATGCTGAAGCGCACAGTGCACAGAAGTCGCCAACTGTCTGCAGAGTCAATAGCTAAAGACCTCCAAACTTTGTGTGGCCTTCAGATTAGTGCAACAATGCATAGAGAGCTTCATGGAATGGGTTTACATGGCAAAGCAGCTGCATTCAAGCCTTACATCACCAAGTGCAATGCAAAGCACCTGATGCAGTGGTGTAAAGCACGCCACCACTAGACCCTAGAGCAGTGGAGACATATTCTCTGGAGTGACAAATCATGCGTCTCTGGCAATCTGATGGATGTGTCTGGGTTTGGCAGTTGTCAGGAGAATGGCATTGTGCCAAGTGTAAAGTTTGGTTGAGGGGGGTTTTTCAGGGGTTGGGCTTGGCCCTTTAGTTCCAGTGAAGGCAACTCTTAAGGCGTCAGCATACCAAGACATTTTGGACAATTTCATGCTCCCAGCTTTGCGGAAACAGTTAGGGGATGGCCCCTTCCTGTTCCAACATGACTGCGCACCAGTGCACAAAGCAAGGTCCATAAAGACATGGATGAGTGAGTTTGGGGTGGAGGAACTTGACTGGCCTGCAACTCAACCCGATAGAACACCTTTGGGATGAATTAGAGCGGAGACTGCGAGCCAGGCCTTCTCGTCCGACATCAGTGCCTGATCTCAGAAATGCGCTCCTGGTAGAATGGTCAAACATTCCCATAGACACACTCCTAAACCTTGTGAACAGCCTTCCCAGAAGAGTTGAAGCTGTTATAGCTGCAAAGGGTGGGCCAACTCAATATTGAATCCTACGGACTAAGGCTGGCCATACACTATACAATTTATACTATATAGTGCAAGGGCCCACCTAACTGGATACAATTGAAAGCGTTGTTTAAGTTTGACCTCATATTATATGGTTTTTGGTAAATCTAAAGCAAAATTCTCAAGAAAATTGTATAGTGTATGGCCAGCCTTAGATAGGGACGCCATTAAAGTTCATGTGCATGTAAAGGCAGGCATCACAATATTTTTGGCAAATTAGTGTATGTACAATGTGTGTGTCTGGATAGGTCTGGGTGGATGATGGAGCCATCAAAATCAACTGGGCTGTGATGCCATGCCTTGTACATAATTTCTTCTTTGAGCATGTAATAATGTACACAACAGAGGACATCTTGTGGATGGGTAAGGAGATCCCTCCTGGGTCCTGCTACTCAGTGAACCCTATCTAGTTTAATGGATTCAGTCAAGCCCCTGCCCAGCACTTGATTAAGGATAGAGATCACAGTGGGTTTTAAGTCAGTGGCAGTAGTAGCTTCATGCAGCCCCCTCAGTCTGATGTTTCTGTGACTGCAGTTTTCATTGTCATCAGAGTGTAAATATAAAGTCTAATGTGGGATAGGTGACCAGAGCTGGCTGCCTCTAAAGGCAGTAGTGACAGAGTAAGTGTGCTTTTCAGTCATCTGTTGGGGTGTATGCTGGGACCCTGAAAGCAGCTGAAAACAGCTTAGAAGGCATGGTGCTCAGGAGTGTGTGGCTTTATTCTGCCATTTTTGTCCACACACCCCACGTGTATTGTGATTTTATGCTTGTACATTTATTTTTCTACTAAAGATACCCACCACCTGATTTGCCAAGGTTTATTGAATTTATCAGTAAGGTATCACCCAACTACCGTATAAATTGACTTATACTACTAACTATGGCTGACCAGTTAAGTTGGAGACATTTTTGAAATGCGGGGTGTTTTCTATACTATTGATGACACTCCAAATTTAGGATATATTTCCCAGTGTCAATGAGTACAGTTTCCACCACCATCCCCATCAAATTGCACTTGGAAACTGGAGGAAACACTGACAGGAGGAGATCTGGCAGACACAAAGCCATAACAGATACAGAAAACAAGTTTCTGAGAATCAACGACTTGCATGATAGGAGGCTCACAGGACAATAGCTTCAAGCACAGCTCAACACTGATTGAAGTAAGCAAGTCTCAGTTCCAACTGTGAAGAGAAGACTTTGAGCTGCAGTTTTGACAGGTTTTGTGACTGTAAGAAAGCCATTGCTAAGATGGCAAAATACACAAACAAAATGCTTGTTTGGGCCATGAAGCACAGCCAGTGCACTACTGAAGACTGGAAGAAGTACCGATGAATCAAAATTTAAGATCTTCAGTTTTGTATGCTGAAGGTTCCTTGGTGTGTGACAACAACTGTCAAACATGGAGGAGGAAGTGTGATGGTCTGTGGCTCTTTTGCTGGATCCAGGGTTGGTGACATGCACACCGTAAGTGGCTAGCACCCTACATTAAACAAAAACTACTACAGCAACATTTTGCAGCGCCATGCAATACCCTCTGGAATAGGCCTAGTTGGTCAGGGGTTCATCCTACAGAAAGATAATGACCCAAACATACCCCCAGGCTGTGTCAGAACTACCTTAGAAGAAAAAGAACACGATGATAGGCTTTATACCATCAATTGGCCTGCACAGTCTCCAGATTTAAACCCCATCAAGCTTCTTTGGGATGAACTGGACAGAAGGGTGAAGGCAAAGCAACCTACAAGTAGAAAAAAGGATGCCACGTGTGTGTGTTTGGCTGTTATATCTGCAGAGGCTACTTTGATGAGTCAAAAATTTAGATTACATTTTGTTTAAGAAAACAATTCCATAATTTCTTTTGTATGTTCAATTGTTTATTTGTTCTATGCTTTATTTTCAGAGTACATTGAGATATTGAACTGTAAATCTCTGTAAAAACTGGAAAATGATGTCCTAAAACTTTTGACAAGTGGTGTAGTTTTTTAGGCTAAGAGGGACATCTAAATTTTCATGTAGCACCCCTCCTGTTAGGGTGCTGCACTATGACCCTCTTGGTAATGTGGTAAGCTAACATACCTATCTCAGGGTCTGGTCCTTGGTGTATGGTGGGGTGAAAAATATGTTGGTTGCCAGTCCCTTTGTTCTTTTTGCCATTTTTTGCTGAACTCAATTCTAGCTGAAACCTGCAAGATGCCCAAAAATAACACAAAAACAAGAAATAGTAGGTGGCTCTTTAAGAGCAGCCCCTTAGTAATTGCTGGCCCTATAAGAGAAGCCAGACAAATCTATGACCCTAGGTCTGGTTATTATTATTATTATTATACAGGATTTATATAGCGCCAACAGTTTGCTCAGTGCTTTACAATATAAAAGGAGACAATACAGAAATGATACAGTTCAATACAAGAGAGTTAGGAGGGCTCTGCTCCTTGGAGGTCTGGTTAAAAGCTTTGTGTTTTTATGTGTGCTTTGTAATGCATTAAAAAAAAAAGGATGTGTCACAAAAAATAGAGGAAGTCCAATGAGGCCGTTCAAATCTGCACTCTGCATTGTGTCATGTTAAAAATGGGGCATATTTGATTATACATGCATTTATTGCATTTTCTATCCCACTGAAGTCTATGGAAGTGCAAGAAAGTTTCAACTTGCGTGTGAGCACATGGCAGCGTGTCATCCCATGGTGCTTCCCCCGGCAAACTGCTCAGCTACAATTCATGTGCAATGATACCATAATCAACTCCATACACAGAAAACAAGAAATCCTTCATGATGTCACTACAGGAAAAGCATCCTCATTTGTTAGCAATACAAATGCACTAAAACACACAAAAATTAGCACTTAAAAAAACGCAAGCAAATATGAATGAGAGCAGAAATTGAGAGAGATGAACAAGGCCTAAGAAATTTGTCTCTTGACCCTTTTTAGAGTAGTCAAAGATACTTTGATATGTGATGAATCCTCCTTACAATGACTAGTAGTATCTTCTACACAGTGCCCCTGCTACACTCTTCCGCAAGAAGATTCTTTGCAAGTTCAAATACCTCCAGATATCCACTCCAGCAGGTAGCTTGGTTTCTTGGGGCTTCAACACATACCACAGGCTGAGACACTACCCAAGTGGAGAAATACTCTAAACACTCAAATATTTATCATCCCCCAAGCCATGCCTTTGAACAAGGACCTCAGGGACAGCTTGAGTCAGGTATACAGTATATTGTCCTTCCCACTCTAATTACTGGAAGTTCCTTCACAATGAACACACTGATCTAGAAAAAAGTAAACAAATGTTCAGGCTGGTTACGGCCTATCAACAAACACTCTAAATTTAAGTAGGGACATAACACCATAGGGTAGGGTCCCTACACAAATGTTATTCATTTTGTCATAAAGAAAACCAAACTTTATTTGTAAATGGTCCATGAAAGTGGCAGAGCATGAGTGACAAGTAGAACATCTTTGTAAAACCTCCGAGATTTATTATATAATCAGCCTGGATGATGCAAGCAGCAGATATTAATTCTGCATCAGAGAAAGCAGGCCGCTTAACACACATCAACTCCACACAAGTGTAAAGGCTGACAAGCTGCATCATCACACTCAGGTAACAAATTTGGCACTCCTATTTCAAATGGACATGTATTGTCAGCCAATCCTCAGGAGTTTAATATGCCCCTGGGTCATGGAGTTAGGAGTTCAGCAGTCATTATGCATTCATTTATGGAATGTAGCTATAGTAACTGGGAGCCATCAACAATGAAACGTCATGCTAGAATGAACTTAATTATCTAAATGTAACAAAAACTGGATAAGTAAAGAACATTTTGATGTGCCCAGAGCTTATTTTATAATTATTACAGTTGTAAATAGTAAGACATCGGATTGCCAATATATGATGAATTTGATGTCATATTTATGAGAAACGTACAGTATATTCATATGCTGCACAAAGCAACAGATGTGGAATGCACTAGAGGCCTTAGAAATGCTTGTAACATTTACCAACCATGCAGATGCCTACCTTGCATATTTGGCACCCTAGGCAGATTATTATTATTTTTTTTTTTTTTCTTTAACAAACCCCACTCCTCAACATGACAACATTTTCAATAATCATCACTGAATTAAATGAATACTAATGTTTTGTGGATTAAATAAAAGAGCAAGTGAAGATTTTCTTATACACTGTATATTTTGTCATATGAAGTCTTTAATGGACTCTCAAAACGGGCAAATACATATAACTTTCTTCAGTAAAACAATTCCCAGTCCTAGTATACAGAAACACAGCTCACCGCCAGTCTGTCAGTCCCACATTGGAGTTTAGGAATCACACTTGTTTTGGGGTACAAGACAAGCTACAGGAGTTCAGCAAAATCCAGAGTCTCATTCTCCAGAGAGTCCACCATTGTTCACAGCTGTGAATCACTCCACATTACCTCGCAGACCCTGCTGCTTCCTTTCTGCTACTTTTCAAGACTTGCATTCGGTTTAACCCCATCAGAATCAGAGTTCTTGTAATTAAGGTTTGCCAGTTCTTCTCTCCCAATAGTGTTTGAACCACTGAAATTCTGGGTCCCTAATGAGGACTTACCAATCCAGAGAGTACTAAAAATCAGTCCTCTCCAACTGTACTATCTCAGAACTCCTTACCCTGCGTGAATACTCAACAATGGCTTCAAACTGTCTACCATAAAGAGACCACAACCCAAATAGTGGGGAAATATATCAGCTGTGCAGGACACACACCTGACACTTTGTACTATATATCTATATCTACAGTGTGTGTGTGTATATACAGTAAATGCTATATATATATTTATATTGTATACAATTCTGTTGATTGAAAAGAAAATTCAAGGGTTTAATTGGGCAAAGTATGTGCACTGTAGTAAAAGATGGGAAAATGATGACTATCTAAATACAATAAAATTCAACAAGGGCTTAATACATTGCAGTGCACATATTTTGCCATGGCAAAACATAAATAGTGACAGCCCTACAGTCTATTATGGTCCTCCAAACAGAAGTGATTTGTCAATAGATAAAAGTGGCAACACTTGACAATACATGGACTACAAATTGGCAATCGTATATGATACAGGGCACTCGCAGGACCTAAAGGAAGTAAGTGTAGCAAAGGCATACAGTCAGTGTGTAGGTAGGTGCTTACATTATACTGCATTCTTGTATCACTGTGTTGTGTACTTTTAAGCATTGGCTGATGCATGTAGGGGGTAATATATTCTGCGGACGTGGTTTATCTTGTGTAGCACACCCTTGGGTGATGCTTCACTAGATATACAGTTGTGTTCAAAATAATAGCAGTCAGACATCACTAACGTGATCAATCACTGTTTTTGGTAGAAATGATATTTCTATATGGCAACTAATTTACTAGCAGGTGTAGTAGTGTAATAGAAATCCAACAGACCCAACAGTCATGACATGCATGCTGCTGATTCTGTGTAATTGAATCACTAATTGAAAGGGGCATGTTCAAAATAATAGCAGTGTGGAGTTCTATTAGTGAGGTCATTCATTCTTTGAAAAACAGGTGGCAATTATTGCCCTTATTTAAGGAAGGAAGGCAGCAAATGTTGTACATGCTTGTTACAGTGCATTTCTCTTTGAAATTGTGAGGAAAATAAGTCATTCCAGACATTGTTCAGAAGAACAGCGTACCTTGATTAAAAAGTTGATTGGAGAGGGGAAAACATATAAAGAAGTGCAGAAAATGATAGGCTGCTCAGCTAAAATGATCGCAAATGCTTTAAAATGGCAACCAAAACCTGAAAGACGTGGAAGAAAGCAAAAAACTACAATTCGAATGGATAGAAGAATAGCCAAAATGGCAAAGATTCAGCCAACAATCAGCTCCAGGAAGATCAAAGAAGGTGTAAAGTTACCTGTGAGTACTGTTACAATTAGAAGACTCCTATGTGAAGCCAAGCTATCTGCAAGAAGCCCCCTTAAAGTCCCACTGTTGAAAAAAAAAGACGTGCTGAAGAGGTTACAATTTGCAAAGAGCACATTGACTGGCCTAAAGCGAAATGGCGCAACATTTTGTGGACTGATGAAAGTAAGATTGTTCTTTTTGGGTCTAGTGGCCGGAGACAGTTTGTCAGACGACCCCCAAACACTGAATTCAAGCCACAGTACACTGTGAAGAGAGTAAAGCATGGTTGCGCAAGCATCATGATATGGGGATGTTTCTCATACTACGGTGTTGGGCCTATTTTTCGTATACCAGGGATCATGGATCAGTTTGAATACATCAGAATACTTAAGGTCATGCTGCCTTATGCTGAAGAAGAAATGCCCTTGAAATGGGTGTTCCAATAAAACAACGACCCCAAACACACCAGTAAACGTGCAACATCTTGGTTCCAGACCAACAAGATTGATGTTATGGCGTGGCCAGCTCAATCCCCGGATCTTAATCCAATAGAAAACTTGTGGGGTGACATCAAAAATGCACTTTCTGAGGCAAAACCAAGAAATAGAGAAGAACTGTGGAATGTAGTCCAATCATCCTGGGCTGGAATACCTGTTCACAGGTGCTAGAAGTTGGTTGACTCCATGCAACACAGATTTACAGCAGTTCTCAGAAACAGTACTTATACAACTAAATATTAATTAAGTGATTCAAAGGAAAGCAAAATCTTCAAACATTTTTCAGTTTATATAGTGAATGTTTGAGTTTGTAAAGAAAAATACAAACACTGCTATTTTTTTGAACAGTCTAATATTCACTTTTTTTAAATTTTTTCAGAGGAACGACACAAATTTGATATATTTTTCTTCATGTTTTGATTTGGAATAGAATGTGTAGTGTTCCCAATGCATTTGTGTGTATGGAAATAAAAGCTATTAGAAGGATTTTGAGCTTTATTCACTTTTTTCAACACACTGCTATTATTTTGAACACAATTGTACAGGTTCAGCTCCCACCTGAATCTGGTGACACCTTTGATTATACCCAGAACACTTCGACACTCTGATAATATTTTTTATGGGTTTTATTGAAGAAGACAAACCCTGAAAAAGAACTAGATGATTTACAAAGGTAATGTACATTAAACACAGATACCACTTTGCATAATACAGTTAGTAAGAAGTCACAATTCACTTGCCAAAGACTCCAAAAACTGACTAGTATCACACATGGACTAGGGTGACATATGAGAGTGAGGTTGACACTTAAAACAATAACTGTTAATGAGGTTTAGCAGCTTATTGACATTTACTATAGTAGTACTATCTAGAGCAGAAATGTCCTACCTAACCACTGGCCAGTGAAATGAAACTTAAAGTCTCTCAATGTTGGGGCCCTTTAATCTATGGAAGAGCACTCACTCTCTGCATGGGAGAGTATTTGTAATCCAGGGGTAGCAGGATAGCACAGTCTCCTTTAAGCAGAATCTTCCAGTGAACATTGCAATAGAAAGAAACAACACTTCAACAAAATCTTTACCATACAGGTGAAATCCTGATATACTGACACTTGCTCAGTATATTCAAAGCAGCAAGCTTCTGTGAGGACTTGGAACTAAACACACTCTTCAGCCACAGCACAAGTTTTGAGGAGACAATCCAGTAATATACAGTGACAGAGTTCTCTCATTAATCAGCATCAGGAATAGCTAATTCTGAGCAGCTTGGGCTTTCCAAGATCTGTGTCACTCTGAGCATTAGAGAGCAGGCTTTCTCATGACCATTCTCCAGAGATGAACAGCAAATGCAGCAATATCAAAATCCCCTTTCATCACAGAGTACTCACTGTTTCTGGATTGTCCTCTATATAGCATTAGACAGTAGTAGAAATCCTCTCTCTTTCAGCAGCTCCAAACTTTGAGAGACACATGCACTTGAGTGGCTGTAATCCTGAGTGTCAGGCAGGGCAATCCTTGATTTGCCCACTGTCCCCTCCTGCAACAATTTCTCTGCTACACACTCCCAGCCCAGCCCATGGGCTCTAGCAGCACAGAGAGTGAGACTCTGTGACTTTACACCAGGAGCCCTTGCTCCATACGGTCCCCTGAAAATGTCTGCCTCCCCACATGTGCTTCTTTCTTCCTTTTTCCTCTCTCCTTTCCTCCACAGCCAATCATAAGTCCAGCTGCAACAGTGCTGCTATGGGTGGATCCTTCTCAGCTGTAGCAACAACCAATCAGAGCACAGTCCTGCTTCCATGTCTGTCACTCACAAAGAGGGAAAAGAAAAAAAATTCTTTGCAACTGCTGTTTAAGATTTAAAGCAACCAGCACATCTCTACACTTGCATGTGTGTCACTTCCTGTTTTCCTATATATACAGGGGAACTGGCCTCATGGGGAGGAGTCTGGTGTAGGAGCTTTCAAAATGATTCTGTAAATGGAGTTTTCATTCTGAGGGGAAGTTGCCTGTGACGTTTACAGGGGAAGTGAAGATCATGATATAATAAGGTGTAATCATGGTCTATCACAAAAAAACTGGGAACTGGAGTGAAACTACAGTTAATCCTCTGGGTTATAAAAAGTGATTCATACAGTATAAATGTAACATAATCTGCTTTACAGTTATGTAGAATTATGTATGTGACGAACACCAGAGGGAGAAGCAGCCAGCTGACAGATGACAGGGTCCTGGTACTGAGGAAACAGCTTAGTACTTCATCTTCCCCACCTAGTGGCAGGATCTCCATATTGGAGCCCACTACAGTACTTGGGACTGATTGAGAGATGATTTTTATTAAACTGCCTGGAAAAGTTCTTCTTGGCACCGAGAGAGTTAAAAAGAGAGCACCTCTATCTGAATATTCCCCTGCCAGCGGGAGACCATACCAGTAGAGATCCGAGCATAAGATTGGGAGTGTTAGGGATCCGGGTATGACCAGAAATGTGTGGGAACACAGGCATAGTCAGGGCTGGAGAGGTGGAATGGTCAGGCAGGCCATTAGGTACTGTACAGGGCGCGGGGTCTAGGTCCCAATCTGCTTATTCACCAGGGCCCCTGATGGTGGGGATGGACTTGGAGCAGACTGAGACCAGGTCGCGACCCCTGAGTACGTCTGGCAATGGTAAAGAGCGTCGTCAGAGGTGTGCGGGGAAAGGAGCCTGACATGCAGAGGCTGGCAGACCTGGTAACAGGGACAGATCCGTGCGGAATGGATGGATGGATCGTCTGGGTAGCGTCAGCGTCAGGCAGGCCAGATTCAGCAATGTGCGGGCAGCGAGGTACCAGAGGAGCAGGCAGAGAATAGTCCGGGTCACAAGCCGGGTTCAGTAACTCACGGGCAGCGCGGTACAGAGGGTCAGGCAGAAGGATGGTCAGGCAAGCCAGGGGTTAAACAGGAGACGGTCAGCAGAGGTCAGGATCAAAGCAGGGTCAGCAACTAGGCAGGAACACAGGATACCAAGTACAGGGGCTCATGGGAAACAATACACCAAGGCACTGACTGCAGGTCTGGCCATTCCTTAAATACACCTCCTGCAATCAGCCTCAGGTGATGGCTGATTGCAGGAGTGAGCTTCTGGTTGGTGAGAGCACCAGCCCTGGTACTGCAGCCCACACGGCAGGTGAGTCCCACCACCAGTGGTGAATCCATTTCTGACAGGGAGTGAGGACACCCAGGGGCAAGCAGGCAGATGTCAGTGTTAATAATGACAATCATTTTTTGCAAACTATGTTTCATTAGTGTTATAATAAAAAAAAGAGCAGTGCATGAAAAAAAAACATATTTCAGGAATGGTATATGCTGGGAAGGTACACCATTTGGCAGTTTCTGATAACACTTTTAAAGCTTTATTCTTGAGATCTGTTTACCTGAGTTTGCAAACCCAATTATGAGAGGTTCCTACTTTTCCTGCTGAGTATTTTATTTTATAGAGGAACAATGGGAGGTACTAAAAAACAAGGTGGGGGAGAAACACCCAGAACTTTGGAGTGGACAGGATCAGAGTCAGATCTCACTGTTGGAGTTTCCAGGACATGTAACAAGTCAGCCATTGCCTAAGCCCATCAGGTTCCAGAGTGGTTGGATTGAGATATTGGTATTTGCTTATAGATCAGACCAAAAAAATAAAACAAATACACCTGATATGTGTTGTGTTTGTCACAGCCCTCCTCACACAGTAGCCATACACAGGCTGTTTGTTAATTTTTTTCCAACTGATTTAGAATCTATGTGGCATGAAAACTATTATAACTAACTGATTAGTGCCATCAGATGTATAACAGTCTTTTTACGGTGGAATTTGCGGACTATAAGCTCCCATACGCTAGCAAATTTAAATGACAACACAGATGTCCTGTCTTTCTACAGTAGAAAAGGGATGGCTTGGACTGATACAAAAAATAACCATCTGCAGGGAAAAATGTTTCCAAGATGCCCTAAAATTATTTAAATTAGTATTTCCCATATTGATTGGATGCAGGCGGTTGTTTTGGTAAATTGAATTAGCTTGTGTATTGCAAACATTGCAGTGTTCCCTTAACAAATGTTCTGTCCCACTTCTTCGGAAGCTGATGAATAAAGCATAAGATTACATCCTGACTAGGAACCAAAACGTTCAAGCAAACTGAACAAAAAATGGGCACAAAAAAAAACACAAATTCAGAGATTGGGTAAACATTGCTATCTTGTAGATGTTTCTCACATATGGAAACTTGAATTTAGCAAAATGTCATTAATAAGAATTTTCCTACAGCGACCAGTCAGAGTGAACCTTCCTTTGAAATTTTGGTTCTGGTTCATTATACATCAAACCAAGAGAAAAGAAGCTTCATATTCTCTAAGAAGCAAGCCCACCTATCCACATACAGGTGAAACTCGAAAAATTAAAATATCGTGCAAAAGTTTATTTATTTCAGTAATGCAACTTAAAAGGTGAAAGCAAGATAGTTCAAGCCGTGATTTGTCATAATTGTGATGATTATGGCTCACAGCTCATGAAAACCCCAAATCCACAATCTTAAAATTAAATATTAGAATATTACATGCAATCAATAAAACAAGGATTGTACATAGAACAATATAGGACCTCTGAAAAGTATAAGCATGCATATGTACTCAGTACTTGGTTTGGGCCCCTTTTGCAGCAATTACTGCCTCAATGAGGCGTGGCATGGATGCTATCAGTCTGTGGCACTGCTGAGGTGTTATGGAAGACCAGGATGCTTCAATAGCGGCCTTCAGCTCATCTGCATTGTTCGGTCTCATGTCTCTCAACTTTCTCTTGGCAATGCCCCATAGATTCTTTATGGGGTTTAGGCCAGGCGAGTTTGCTGGCCAATCAAGCACAGTAATCCCATGGTCATTGAACCAGGTTTTGGTGCTTTTGGCAGTGTGGGCAGGTGCCAAGTCCTACTGGAAAATGAAGTCAGCATCCCCATAAAGCTCGTCTGCGGAAGGAAGCATGAAATGCTCCAAAATCTCCTGGTAGACGGCTGCGCTGACCCTGGACTTAATGAAGTACAGTGGACCAACACCAGCAGATGACATGGCTCCCCAAATCAACACAGATTGTGGAAACCTCACACTGGACTTCAAGCATCTTGCAGTGTGTGCCTCTCCATTCTTCCTCCATACTCTGGGTCCTTGGTTTCCAAATGAGATGCAAAAGTTGCTCTCATCAGAAAAGAGGACTTTGGACCACTGAGAAACAGACCAGGTCTGTTTTTCTTTAGCCCAGGTAAGACACTTCTGATGTTGTTTGTTGTTCAGGAGCGGCTTGACAAGAGGAATATGACATTTGAAGCCCATGTCCAGGATCCGTCTCTGTGTGTGGCGGCTCTTGATGCACTGGCTTTAGCCTCAGTCCACTCCTTGTGAAAGCCCCCAACACTTTTGAATGGCCTTTTCTGGACAATCCTTTCCAGGCTGCGGTCATCCCTGCTGCTTGTGCACCTTTTTCTTCCACACTTTTCCCTTCCACATAACTTTCTATTAATGTGCTTTGATACAGCACTTTGGGAACATCCAACTTCTTTTGCAATTACCTTTTGAGGCTTTCCCTCCTTATGGAGGGTGTCAATGATGGTTTTCTGCACAACTGTCAGGTCAGCAGTCTTTCTCATGATTGTGATTCCTACTGAACCAGACTGAGAGACCATTTAAAGGCTCAGGAACCCGTTGCAGGTGTTATGGCTTAATTAGCTGATTAGAGTGGGTTTTCATGAGCTGTAAGCCATAATCATCACAATTATGACAAATCACGGCTTGAACTATCTTGCTTTGCATGTAATGAGTCTATCTCATATATTAGTTTCACCTTTTAAGTTGCATTACTGAAATAAATGAACTTTTGCACGATATTCTAATTTTTCGAGTTTCACCTGTATGTTGAGCTTTGGAAAATGGGCTTCAGTGATTTACATAGAAACATATTACAGTGAATTAAGTTAATTTCTATCTTTGACTGAGACCCATAAGTACTAAAGAAAAAGACTTTAGGCAATTTGTTTTATAACATTAATTGTTGACTTTCTTATTTACTGCAAACATATGAGCATTTTCATAGGCGTATTACAGCTGTTTTGTTGTGGCCATATATATTTAATATTTACTGCAAAAGAAGACATTTTGAGAGGTTTACTGAAGCTTACTGTGGCCATTGAAATGTATTATTTACAGTAAACATGTCATATGGGCATTTTAAGGGAGTTTGACTGATTTTTTTATTGTAGCCATTTATAGTTAATTACTGTGAACAAGTGCAGAATTACTGGTGACAATGAATTTTGTTTCTAGCTGTTGTATATAGACACAATTATTAAGGACTAGACCTAAAAAAAAAACCAAAACTTGAGCTACAACTCTTTTGACACCTTAGCTGTGTAGTTGGTACATTGACCGTTGCATACAGTATATGCTTTTATTCTTTTTATGTTTGGCTACGTAACATTAATATTATTGCAGTCATTTGCACTGCACGTTGACATTGGTTGCAACAACATGTGGTGTAGACAGGGCTGTTTTTTCAGAGAATACAGTCAGGTCCATAAATATTGGGACACCGACACAATTCTAACATTTTTGGCTCTATACACCACCACAATGGATTTGAAATGAAACGAACAAGATGTGCTTTAACTGCAGACTGTCAGCTTTAATTTGAGGGTATTTACATCCAAATCAGGTGAACGGTGTAGGAATTACAACAGTTTGCATATGTGCCTCCCACTTGTTAAGGGACCAAAAGTAATGGGACAGAATAATAATCATAAATCAAACTTTCACTTTTTAATACTTGGTTGCAAATCCTTTGCAGTCAATTACAGCCTGAAGTCTGGAACGCATAGACATCACCAGACGCTGGGTTTCATCCCTGGTGATGCTCTGCCAGGCCTCTACTGCAACTGTCTTCAGTTTCTGCTTGTTCTTGGGGCATTTTCCCTTCAGTTTTGTCTTCAGCAAGTGAAATGCATGCTCAATCAGATTCAGGTCAGGTGATTGACTTGGCCATTGCATAACATTCCACTTCTTTCCCTTAAAAAACTCTTTGGTTGCTTTTGCAGTCTGCTTTGGGTCATTGTCCATCTGCACTGTGAAGCGGCGTCCAATGAGTTGTGAAGCATTTGGCTGAATATGAGCAGATAATATTCCCGAAACACTTCAGAATTCATCCTGCTGCTTTTGTCAGCAGACACATCATCAATAAATACAAGAGAACCAGTTCCATTGGCAGCCATACATGCCCACGCCATGACACTACCACCACCATGCTTCACTGATGAGGTGGTATGCTTAGGATCATGAGCAGTTCCTTTCCTTCTCCATACTCTTCTCTTCCCATCACTCTGGTGCAAGTTGATCTTGGTCTCATCTGTCCATAGGATGTAGTTCCAGAACTGTGAAGGCTTTTTTAGATGTCGTTTGGCAAACTCTAATTTGGCCTTCCTGTTTTTGAGGCTCACCAATGGTTTCCATCTTGTGGTGAACCCTCTGTATTCACTCTGGTGAAGTCTTCTCTTGATTGTTGACTTTGACACACATACACCTACCTCCTGGAGAGTGTTCTTGATCTGGCCAACTGTTGTGAAGGGATTTTTCTTCACCAGGGAAAGAATTCTTCAGTCATCCACCACAGTTGTTTTCCGTGGTTTTCCGGGTCTGAGCTGTTGCTGAGCTCACTGGTGCGTTCCTTCTTTTTAAGAATGTTCCAAACAGTTGTTTTGGCCACGCCTAATGTTTTTGCTATCTCTCTGATGGGTTTGTTTTGTTTTTTCAGCCTAATGATGGCTTGCTTCACTGATAGTGACAGCTTTTTGGATCTCATCTTGAGAGTTGA